GACGCTGCGTCTCTTTGCCATACTCCCTGCATCCCTCCAGGCGCTACTTCATCGAAGCTAACTTGCGCTCTGCCGGATGCGCTTTTATAGTTCCTGGCGCTCACGTCACCCCGCTCGTGACGTCTCGCTGCTCCATTGGATTGATTTCACACGTGCTTCAGAACGCGGTCACACAGGGGCGTTCCCAAAGTGAATCTCGACGCAGCTCGAGTTCCTGAAGGGGAACTACTTATACTCACGTTGTGATCAGTGGCAGCTGGATGCAATAATCGCATGCCAATGTGCATTGGCTCGTTTAGTTTACACTCGAAGTAGATTGTTCTCTCTAAGCAAGATCCCAATTCGTCGGTCATCCGACGTGACGTTGAGAGTGACCGACTGAAAGGGAACGCGGGGTTAGTTGTAACACACATGGTTTGAATATTTCCACACATGCTAGCATAACACAATTTACAGTATTTATTAGTTACCATGTCAACATTATATAGAAAAAAAAGTGTGCCAAAATTCAATAATCTTTTGAAGATATCAATGAACATTTATTTTACCATAGTAAAATTAAAATTCTGGCTTAAGTAAATTTTTAATCTCTGTTTTTATTAATCATTTAAAATGAGACAAATCTGCTATTATTTTAATCTCCAATCTGTTATTTATCAGTTTAGATAGTTTTTTTAATGCTTCGCTAACTAGCAGAAGACAGCAACTGGTTTTAAACTCCAGTTGCGCAGATGGGGCACGTTGTAACACTGCATTACAATGTGCTATTCTGTGACATTAGCGATGTTATTTACACTATTTACTTTAATGAATTTTAATGAGAAACAATAAGAAACAGGTGAATAAAAACTGACAGTCAGTGTTTAATGTTTAGAAATGATTATTTCAAGACATGTAAAGCATTTTTGCTCGTTTATATGGGCCGTCCCAAGCATGATTGCACACTCTAAAAAAATGCTGGGTTAAATACAACCCAGTGCTGGGTACAATAGGGACAAACCCAGCTATTGGGTTGTTTTGGCCCAGCGGTTCGGTTACTACCCAGAAGGTTGGGTTAAACATTTATCCCAACCGCTGGGTCAAAACAACCCAATTGCTGGGTTTGTCCCTATTGTACCCAGCACTGGATTGTATTTAACCCAGCATTTTTTAGAGTGCAATGTGTTCATTGTCAAACTCTAAAATCAGATTATTTTTAATTCTTAAAAAACGCCATTATTTTATTTGAAATTTTTTAATTTTTTAATTTTACTAACAAAATATTTTAGTTTGTCTTGTATATTTTTTTCATTCGATCAGATAACATTTTAAGCTGTCATATGGTCATGTTACAACGTGCCCCTCAGGTGTTACAATGTACCCCACCTACATAGCATGTTGTCACATTTCACTTCCATTTTTTTAGTAAATTTTTTACATTTTTTGTAAATAAAGCAAAACGTATACACTGTAACCATGAAACAAAGCGACATATTTGTACTAGACAAGTGTAAAATTAC